TAATATTTCCTTGAAATTATTTGAGCTGCCCTTTGATTCTCTGACCTGTCTTGATGTTTTCGAAGCTTCCATAAAGCTCTTAGTTCTATTGAAGATCTCCGTTCTGCTCGGAAATAAATAGAATTCCCGTAAATACCTTTAAATTTCCCTAAAATTCTCTGGACTTCTGTGAAGTTTCTGAAGTTTTCATAAGTTCTTTGAAGGTCTCTGTACTTCCCTGAAATTCGCGGAACATCTTAAGGGTTCTCGATTTGTTTTTCAGCACATCATGGAACTATCTTGAATTTATCTAAATTTACGATTATAGATTTTTAATCTATCTAGCTTTCCTGAGGTGCTTAGAACTTCTTAAAAACTTGCACAATACCCCTCAAGTTTTCTAAATTTATCAAGTTCGCTTGCTACCTGTGAAGTTCTCTGAAATTCTAGGAACTTCATAAAAGTTCCTGAAAAGTCTCGGATGCCAAAAGATCCGCTTTGAGGCTCTTACAGCTTCCAGTAAGTTTCCCATATTTTCAGCGTGTTAACTTCCCTTATGTTCCTGCAGTTTGTCTATAGAGCTTCACTGAAATTCTCAGCATTTCCTTTCATTCCTCAGAACTTCTTCAAACTTCCTACAATTGTTGTAAAGTTAATGGGACTGCATAGAAGATCTCTAATCTTTCATAAAGTTAATTACGAACTTGAAATAAATCATTTATTTTTTTACTTAATTCTGGCACTTGGAATATTTTCAATATCTTGAACTTGTACATGGAATACGAAACTTTAAGACATTAAATATTTTTATATCTTGGACTTACTTACTTGGAAAACTCAGGTAATTTTATACAGAAAAATGAGTAGACATCCTGTATATAGAGAAAGACGATTAAACTTCACAACGCAAAGAATAATCAATCTTGGATTAAATTCACGCTAAAAACTTGAAAATTGTGACTTATTACAAGAAAAAGTGACTTTAGTGACTTGGCCTTAAAAAAGAGACTGACTTGAAAAAAGTGACCAAGTCACTAAAAAGTGACTCGCTACCAGCCCTGTCTATTGAAAATAAATTTCCCTGAATTTCTTTGAACTTCTGTGAAGTTCCTGAAATATTTCTCAAGTTTTCATAAATTCTTTGATGGTCTTCTGAAGGGTTCTCAATTTTTCTAAATTTACGATTATAGATATTTAAAATGCTCCAAAAAGTCTGAACTATAGCCATGGGAACTGCTTTTAAGATCTGAAATTCCCCAAAGATATCTAGATCTAGCTTTTCTCAGGTGCTTAGAACTTCTTAAAAATTTGCACAATACTCAATACCTCAAGGTTTCTATTTTTCTCAAATTCGCTTAACACCTGTGATGTGCTCTGAAATTCTAGGAACTTCATAAAAGTTCCTGAAAATTTTCGGATGTTAAGAGAACCGATTTGAGGATCCCCATAATTTCAGTGGGTTAACTTCCCTTATGTTACCGTAGTTTGTTTAGGGAGCTTCACTGAAATTTTCATCATTTCCTATAATTCCTCAGAACTTCTTTAAAGTTCCTACAACTGTTGTGAAGTTACTGGGACTGATCTCTAATCTTTTATTAAGTTAATTACGAACTTGAAATAAATCGTTTAATGTTTTCCTAAATTATCTTGAACTTGTACATGGAATACGTAACTACAAGACATTGAATATTTTTAGATCTTGGACTTACTCAAATTAATTACGTTTTTTTTAACTTTAAGTGAGAAATTAAATAAGTGCTAAACTTCAACATTCAATGGATTTGATTATAAAGTTGTTTCTTTAAAATTGATTGCCATGTCTTAAAAACGTTTATCTGACTGTTGTTTATCTTTCTGAAAAAGGATATTTTGAACGCATTTTAAAAATAGCTTTCTTACTATAAGCCTGGAATTTATCTGTTGAAGTTCTGGAAAAACCTGGAAACTCAGGAAATTTATTTAGAAAAATGAGTAGACACCCTGTAGATAGAGAAAGACGATTAAATCAAATCAAATCAAATCAGATTGACCACCCACGGTTGCTGCTCTGTTATTACCAGATCAGCTGCAATTACACAGAGAACCAACAGATGATGTTTGGGACTAACATTCAATGTGTAAAAACTGGAGATCTAATATTTAGCAATACCAGCGCCGGCCGTGTCCGAATGCAGGTCAACTAGGGAATGGGAAGGAATGTGTTGACGTGGTACTCGCTGTGAAGGAAACCGAGAAATCCTCTGCGCTTCCACGAGAAATCACTGGGATGTTGGATGTGGGGAAAGGTTGCACGCACACGCAGGGATCGTTTTTTGGTAGAGCGATTATAATACACAAATACACACACACACACACACGCGCGCGCACTCATCCAATTTCTATTCTTAGATCAGGACCCACACTGTGGTAAGTGATGCGATCGGTGTTAAAGAAGAATTTGTTTTCATTAAAATCTAGTGGGTGGCATAGTGAAAAATTGCAAGGCAGGGGACGGGCCTGGGATTGAACTCCCGAACCTCTGCTCAGTAAGCAGAAACGGTAACCACTGAGCTACCGAGCCTCGTCAACAGATAGAGAAAGCCGATTAAACGTCACAAAGTAAAAAATGATCAATCTTGAAATAAATTCACGCTAAAAAAGACTGATTACAACAAAAACTGACTTTAGTGACTTTACCCTTAAAAAATATACTTTTTAGTGACTCACTACCAGCTATGTCATTTTTTTGACTTTCAAAATCAGTTTCTGTCCTAAAATTCAGAAAAAATGTTCATACAAAAAGTTGGTTGAAAGTTGTTGTTGTATGATTACTGTTAAGTTGTTAGTGCAAATCTTTAAATATTCACAGAAGATAGAATTTTTCATAGGCTATTTAATGAAAAATATTTTTAAAAAAATGAGAGGGCAATTTAAGATTTTAACACCATTTTCCCCCAAAATTACTCGATATTGTTTTTCGTGTATATTTTTCCAGAAACGCAATTATTTTTTCCTACAACTTTGTCTCGGACGTCATTCCGATTTGATGGTCAAATTCTGGCTCACATGTGATTGATTGACTGCACCAAACAATTGCGAAGTTTCATGCAAATCGGACAAGGTCGAGTCTGAAATTAAATTTTATTTTTGCTTTTCGGCCTGGAATTCCTCTGATTGACTTTTTTTTCTGGATGAATTTATGCCAGAAATCAATTTCAAATCATTGATTACTTGACAAGATGGACTGAATTGAAATTAGTCGAATAATCTATTCACCAAATGAAAATAGGACATCTCTACGGACATATTGGCACCAACTGCGGCAATAAATGTATGGTGAATTCGAAACCTGCATTAAAAATGGTACCATGTCAATGTGATATTTAAAACAGATCATAATGCTAGAAAATCAAGTCTTAGCATAGCTAGTAAAACAACTCCCGCACTTCGGAGGCAAGAGGTTTTGGGCCTGGAAAAAGGAGAAGGTAAATAAAAAAACAATCCGCCCAATCCGGTTACACGTGAACGTCGCCCAAATTGGATGACATCCAATGCTACACGAAACAAAATTTAATAGGGCACAGGAAAAACCGAAAACAACGTCTGGGCCGAAAACAGAAAAGACCCAACGGCAACAAAAGGCGCGGTGAGGTGGTAGCGAAACGAAAACAAAGGATATTCTGACTCGCCGCGGACTGCGAGGCATACGAAAAATAAAAACTAAACCTAACCAAAAAAAAAAAAAAAAGAAGTTCAACATTGGCACAGACCTGGCTTTAATGGACATGACTTTTCCACCGACCGGCATATTTTCCTTCACGTAAATCGGACCATAAACTGTGCTGTCCCACACCGGTGGGTTGTTTGCCCGATCGACGACGTCGATCTGCACCTCGACCGTACGTGACAACGGTGGGTAGCCCTTGTCTTGGGCCATCGCCTCCAGTTTGTACGTTTCGCGCTGTTGTCGTGTGTCAGTGTCAGTGTGGGTGAGGTTGTGGGGGGTATTTAATCAAGCCAAAAACATTCGACGGTCGTCGGCGGAGGGTGGCCCGTTGGTAATTACAAAACACAAGTGTCACGAATGAGTTGCCGGTCACAAAAATCGGTGCGACGCGTCACAAAAATTGCGTCCATATTCCGGGGAACACACAGCCGAGGTGCAGCCATTGATGATCATCGTTATTATCATCGTCATCGGGTGGCGAGCGCAAGAATGGGGAAAAAATAGAGCAAAAAACAAACGAGGCGATAATCAAAAAAGTCGTTTTTTCAATTACTGAGATGGCGAATTAATTTGATTTTCGACGGAAAATTATTTAATAATGAGATGTTGAGGGTCATAAAAAATGTTATATTGAACTATCACGTGGTTGGGTAGAAAAAAAAAACGTTTCGGTCGATAAAGATGCAGATTTCAGCGCACACACACAAAAATAAAATTTGGGCGAACGGCTGTGGCTGAACGACGACGGTGACGACGACGTCCCTTTCGCAGTTTAATGGTCTCGATGGTTCGTGTTCGGAGGTGGAAAATAGCCTGGATAGTCTGGAGCAGCGACACTAGCTTAATATTTACGTTCAATGAATATGCTTTTTGTTTGTTTGTTAGTAGGAATATTTGCTGAGTAAAAAGGAGTATTTACTAAAGGAAAACAACGGCAACAAGTTTGAGCAGTACAGCACGTAGAAAACTTCTCCGTCAAAAATCGAGTTGAAGAAATGTTCTTCGGAGCTGGAACTCGGTTAGTACTAGCCTACACACTAGAGGACCGAATTGTGACTTCATCATTCGCGAGCGAACGCTTGGATAAAGGAACTGCCCCATCCTACTCTACTTTGCCACGCCCCTTTTTTGTTTTTTTTATCAACAAAGGAGAAAACGAAGCGTTCGTCGAACGATGAAGCCACCGAAACGGCCCACTTTGATCGATCGTTACTGGCGTTAGTTGTCTCTTTTTTTTCGTAGCTCCGCACGTTACGAACGGAGTGAGAAAGAGAGAGAAAAGGCGTAAGAGAATCGTGTTAGCGAGTATACCAACCTTGCTTTGATCGCTGTAACTACTGTACCGACAGTGACATTTTCTTTTATGTGAATGGGGCCATAAACATTGCGATCCCAGATCGGTGGCTTATTGTTCCGATCGACCACATCGAGCTCGACGTCGACGTCGGCGGTGGAGGGCGGATCGCCCCGGTCGGAGGCGTACACTTTCAGCCGGTAGCGATCACGCTGTATTGATTATGCGGCATTTTGTTTTGTTTTGTTTAAATCAATTTTTAGTATCATACCGACATTAAAACAATTGGAAAGTTCGAAATCGTGCATCGAATGAATGGTCAGATTTGGTTTTGTTTTGGCGGTTCACAAATCGATTGATTAACATCAAACGCAAAAATCATAGAAGAAAAGAAAGAAATGAAAGAAATCAAATTAAATCGATTGTATGACGAAAATGGAGGTTAGTACAAGGCTAATGGTAACATAGAACTAAATATTAATAACTAAGCAAAATTGATTGGACAAATACTAGAATTATGTACATGACTATTGGCAAATCAAAGTTGGCACTCATGGAGAATAGAAGAACTATAACAGTGATGATGGTTTCAAAATTTTCCACGGGGAAGTATACGAATGCAATCTTAAAATGCTTTTATTTTGCAAATGGAACATTTTATTTAAATCTGGTTGCTGCTACAGTGGTAGAAAAGCTCAAATCTATGTGTACACCTAAAAATCTGAAAAGAAATTAATTTTTCTGTATTATTTGTCTATTGAGTAGTCCTTAAGTTTTCTACTAACATAGCATCAACCAGATTTAAATAAAATGTTCCATTTGCAAAATAAAAGCATTTTAAGATTGCACTCGTATACCTCACCGTGTAAAATTTTGAAACCATCATCACTCTCATAGTTCTTCTATTCTCCACGAGTGCCAACTTTGATTTGCCTATTACAAAGAATAAAAATCAAAAGCGTCAAAACGAAAAACTTGGTAACGAATGAAAGGGGAACGGTAGTAGGCCAGATGTTGCTGTTTGTTCGATCTGGAGAGAGAGAGAGTGTGTGTTGGGTATTTTCGAATGAGCTTCGCCTAGCAGCCACTAGGGGCGTTTCCACCTGTAGTCCAATTTTTATGGCACTGCCGATTCGGGCGAGTTAGTTTGTGGATGTGCGCATGTATGGGTGAAGAGTGTTGGCAGATTTGTTTGAAGTGATGTCAGATACTAGAAAAGTTCTTAAGCTACGGGATAAAACAACAACAAAAGTTTGGAATCTTTTTATCTACCGAAAATAACGATTAATTTTTAATGAAGATGGGTTAATCTGGTATAGAATATAGTACAACATTTCTCAACGATTGGCTACCACAGATGATTTCTTACTGATTTTTCTATTAATTTCTGTTGTGACTTAGTTACGAATGGCCTCAATGGAACATGGAAAACAATCAGGAGTTAAATTTTTACCTAAACGGATAGCGATAAACACGGATCTATTCAGATTGGTCGAATATGGATTGAAGCTATGGTTTATTTTTTGAGTTGCTTTGAAATTTCAACTTACGCCACTTACAGGGTAGCATCCCTTCAGTGATTGGATTTTGGTTTGTTTGTTTTCGAAATGTCACGGATGATAACAACGGTCAATTGACATCCGATTTTTATTTACCGAAAGAAAATCAAAGAAAAAACAAAATTAAACGATCGAATACCAACTGAAAAAGGTGCAGTATAAATCTTAACTAAGGCGCTGACCGGAAATCATTACATAGTATAAACTTAAATCTATTAATTAAACAAAAGACACTTTCACCCTATGTTTCAACAGTGAAGAAAGATTGAAAATAACGCGATAAAAGTGTTTTCAATCTTCCTTCCCTATACAGACATGTCGAAAGTACCGTTCCTGCTGTCGCGGTACTCTCAAACTGATTTCGTACCGTGCCTAAGCGATCCAAATGTGCCAATCAGGGCTGTTTAGGCACTCGGTGCCAACCGAAGCGCTTGGGCGTGGCATAGCATTTCGATTTTCTTTTTGTTTTTGGGCACATTCCGGGTGCATTTCGCATGTCTGTGACCCGAACCCGAGCACTTGATAATATCACTTCATGTCAAGCAAACTGAAAATTTTACGCGACGCATGCAGGGTAGGAATAAAGGAACACATTCCAACGCAAAAAAAAATCGGGTTCGAAAGTAGGACAACCTCGAGGACAACTTAAGGAAACAAAACCTTTCACTAGTAGTAGTATTACAGCTTGCAAGTGTGTGTATTCGGGATGCTATTTTCATCAAGGGATTCATTTTTTTTTGTGGGTAAGGTTATGGGAAATGTGATTTTGAACTGAAGATAAATACCAAATCAAGCTTTGAAAACGGTACAAAAATTTAAAAACGAAGATCAAAACACGATTTTGGTTTGCTTTCAAAAATACCGCCTTTTTTTCTGGATTGAATGTGCATTTGGACGAATTTCAAAAATGCCGGTATTCGTCCTGACTGTTTACAAAAAAAATCTTTCTTTTTTTCAGTTGTCGTACGCCCCATTACAACATGTCGTGAAAATGTCACTCGTTCTACTCTTCTACGCTAGGTAAAAGTTTAAAGTGGTTTTTGATTTCCGAAGAAAGCAACCTCTGTCGCCGAAAAATGTGCTGCTTCATGGCCAAAAATCGGTAACGCCTCCGTTCGTTCCTGGATGATTCTAAAAAAAACCCTAAATACTGTTCAATCCCTCCTGTCTGCGGCCCCGAATATCGTCCGGTATTGTTGACAACGATGACATCAAAAATGGTTGTTCGATTAGGTGGAAAAAATATGGCGCCTGTACCAAAATATCAAAAATACTTCATTTTGGAACGCCGACAACGAGAGAGAAAATCGAAATCTCCCGCCATGGAAAAAAAAATTGATTCGCGATGGGATATTTCAATTTTCGTCTCTCTACAAAAATCGTTCAAATCGAAACAAAACAGTCAAATTTCAGAAAACTTGGTGCCGACGAAAGAGAGAGCGAGAGAGAGAGAGGTTCCCAATCGTAATTGAGATATAAGAGTATTACAATATTATACTATGGCAAACGAATTGAACATATGGTAGTTACAGCTAGAGTTGCAAATCTTATGATCAGTGGTGCGCTAAGAACCTAAGAACCGAAAGCAGCTGTCAAACTTGGTGCAGTTGGAATCAAACAATACTTCCTAATACTTGGTGCAAAGACTGTCGTTTTTTTACGGTGAAGGTGCAACATGGTGCGAGAATGTAATAAGTGTGTAATACAAAACGGTGCATGGATTGGAGGTAGACGCCGGTGGATCCACGGTAAGGCTGTTTCTTCATCACGATGGCGCCCAATATATATAGAGAGTGTGCAACTGAAAAGCATAATCGGTGCTGGAAATAGGAAGAAGAAGCGTTTGATCTATGGTCAACCATTGGCTATGGATATCGTTGACAGTTCCTCCACGTTCTCGATGTAAACACAACAACAAGCTGTGATGTAAATGAAGCTGAAATAGTGCTCACACGAAGCGACCATTCCGTTTGCCTGGTGCTCACCACTAGATGTCGCTTTACAAACTTGTCACTTGTTGCTTCTCGCGGCGGTGCTTTCAAAACAGGAAACCGGGCGCATGTGCGTCAGCACACAGACACAAACGCAATGATCGCTTGTTGTGTTTATTTTTGCAAGCTCATTTACTTATTATGTAGTGATCAATATCATAAAATACAACAGTAAACAAACCTGAAATCATAAATACCAATACAAAAATGGTGCAGTTATTGAAAAATCAAACATAAACGTATCATCTGTAAAACGAAAATCATAAGGTAAACAAGTTCCGAAACAATCCAGCTTCATTATCAGATATCGCACCGGCTTCAAATTGCGTATTTTAGCTCAAATTATACTCTTTTTAATATTTTGTCTGCGGCAGCCATATTATCTTTGCAGTTGTTTTTCATTACCCTTAGAACTATCACATACGACTGTGTACTTAAAAGTTAAGAAGGGAAAAAGCTCAAATTCTAAATCTTAAACTTATCATATTCTCATATCATTTTTTTTTCTCTTTTGTACAGAACACAAGTTGAAAAATATATCATGAGTGAGGTTAGAGAAAAAGTAAAGCCAAACCAAAATCCGTAGAAAAAATGGAACAAGAAAACACTTACGTCAAGCGGCTTCTTCAGCACGATCCAACCGGACTCGGGTTGAATCTCGAAGTATTCCAAATCATTCGGACTATGCGGAGCACTCAGCGTGTACACGATGGCACCATTGTTGTCGGCATCTTCGTCGGAAGCGGAAACTCGCAGAATGTTCGTTCCGATGCTTGCATCTTGTTTGACGTTTTCGACGTATTTCTAGAATTACAAACAAAAAAACCTTTAAACACCATTCCACGCAAAATTCTCCAATCTCACAACTCACCTGTCGATCAAACAACGGTGGATTGTCGTTCACATCGGTAATTTCCACCGTAAAGGAGCAGACACCCTCCAGGCTGGGCTCTCCTTGATCGGTTGCCTTGATAGTGACGGACACGAACTTGCCATCGTCGCCTTCCCGATCGAACACCTTGTTGGTGGAAACTTCACCCGTTTCTTCGTCTACGGTGAACTTGGTACCCTTCTGATTCGGTTGCTGAACGATCGAATATTTAACCTGATCAAAGCAAAACACACACACAATCAATCAAACGCCGTTTCAAACCCCACTATAAAGCATCGCATCTTACCTGCCCATTTACGCCCTTGTCCTCGTCGGTTGCCTGCACCTTTATGACCGGACTTCCGTTCGGGGCACCTTCCTCCACCTTGGGATAGTACGTGCCGCAGTCTTTGAACACCGGCTTGTTATCGTTGACATCGGTTATGAACACCACGACGACAGCTGTAGATGTATGAATTGTCACCTCACCATTGATGCAACACGATCCATCATCCATAGCTGTCACATTCAGCTCATACTTGTCCCGATCGAGCGAAATGCCCTTGCTATGCAACCGGATAACGCCGGTAATCTCTTCGATTACGAACTGCCCACTATTGGTGCCGCCACCGACGAACCCAAACCGCACATTATCGCCATCCTTGTCGGAAGCTACCACCGTCGTGACTAGCGTATTCGGTCCTGCATTTTCGTCAACATTCGGCGTATAGACCTGTTGGGAAAACTTCGGCTCCTCGTCGTTTTTGTTCTTGGTGTACACGCGAACGGTGGCCGTTCCGGTCTTGGCCGGTTCACCCTTATCCTTGGCCGTAACGACAAACTCGTAGTAGGCATTATTGTTGTCGGCATCCAACTGTTTGTTGTTGACAATGATGCCATTGGAGTCCACGGCAAAGTGCTCGTCCGACACGAGATATTCGATTTCAGCATTGGACCCGGAGTCGGAATCCATGGCCTTCACCTTGAGGATGCTGGTACCCATCGGGATGTCTTCGTCTACGTTGTGGGCCTGGTAGTCAGGAAGTTCGAACTTGGGTGCGTTGTCATTTACGTCCGTTACCCGAATTGTGAGCTGGAAAGATGGAGGGAAGGGAGAAAGGGTTGATTAAACGGATTCAATATAAGCTTGAGCATGAACGTTCTCAGTGCCAACATAGGAATGTTTAAAGGAACAATAACAGATATATGAGCTGCTGCATTGTTTTCCGAAGTTCGATGTTATCTATTAATCTACTATGTCATGCATACTTTGATATTCTCTATGGTAAGTTGAAAGTAGTCAAAATTCACAAATTTCCATGCAAATATTGAAATAAATCTATCGACTTGAAGATTCAGCATGTTCACACACAATTAACAAGATTAGGGTTGTCATTGCCGGGTGTGTTTTCTGAAGAGCTACTCAGATATATTGTCCTGCCCGAGTTTTTAGTCAGACGAGCATAGCGACGGGTAATTGCCTAGACAAAGCTACGAAAGAAAAAGCTTCTAAAGATTCTTAAAGAAGCTTCTATGGAAGCTCATTCCTGACCCTCGCCCGTCGCTCCGCTCCTCTAACTACATGGGCAGGATAGTAAATCTGAGTAAACCAAGGTCTACTTAGTAATGGAACAAACTCTTTTGCTTATTACAGCGCTCCTAGTGGACGTTTTCGGCAGCTTTTGACGTCTATTTGTTGAAAACAACAATAACAATCACAGTATATTTTCAGTTCATAAAATGCTCTTGTTTTGGAGACAGTTACCATGAAAGAGGAGCGTAGAGGAAAAATCGTGCACAGACCTGGAGAATCCATCGTGGTCCACGTCCAAGCTGGCTAAAGTGTTGAATTTTCCTAAAAAAAAAACACCGTATGGCGCGTGGGTGATCAGAGGTTTTATGCCTCATTGATTGAACCTAGACCTTTTAGGGTGAGAGGCAGTCACGCATACCACTACACCACCGGCGCCGCTGATGGAACTGTCTTGATGTTATCTGATTTTGGCTGAATTTCTCATTTTTTTTTAAGTTCTCGAATCTATCATTAAAACACGGAACTTCCCCTAAAATGTTCTCACATTTCGTTATGTTCATGTAGCTTCCCTAACGATTCCAAAATTTGCATGGACTTTGCTGCTGAAGATTTCCACTAACTTCCAGCAATTTCCATTAAATTAATTGAAATACTCTAAGGTTCCCCGATCCGTCCTGAATTCCTCGGAGCTTCCCTGAATGTCTCTCAAATATCCTGAAATTATTGATTCTTCTTTTAACACTTATATAGCGAGCGATTTGCCGGCTCTAAACAAAGTGTTCTAGTTGCACTTCCACTGTTATTAATTGAGAACTTTATATGCCAACCAGCGTTGCCAGATATACCGATTTATCTGTATTTATACCGATTTCAAAACTAGATACCGATATCTTCTTCTTCTTTTTCTTCTTCTTCTTCTTCTTCTTCCTATTCTTCGCATTTCAAGCTTATTGCATATCGCATATTTAGCTTATTGCGTACTCTCAACTTAGTGTTCTAGATGCACTTCCTCAGTTATTAATTGAGAGCTTTCGATGCCTGTACCAAGTGTGGCAAGTCCAACCATACTTTTATGCCCAGGGAAGTCGAGAAATTTTCCAACCCAAAAAACTCTTAGACCGGACCGGGAATTGAACCCAGCCACCTCTAGCATGATCTTGCTCTGTAGTTGCGCCTTTACCGACTGAGCTAAGGGAGGCCCCATAGATACCGATATACAGATATTAAATAATCAAAATGATTATTGCCTGCCCGCGCTCGAATTCCGGAGAAAATTATTGTGAGAGACTTGTATCTTTTCGAATATCTTAAATTGTTTGAGCTTTTAAAATTCTAAAAAAAATCGTCTTTAAAAATGTCTTATGGATACTCTTTCGATTATCGTTTCAATGTCCTCACCGTTTTAGGCTACCCATGAATCGATAAACAGTCGATGTCTCTTTCTGGTAATTCCGGGGAAATCGGGAAATTATTTTTCGAGTCCTCTCGGAAACTTATTTCGACTTCCCTTGGAAGCTTCTTCAGCCTTCACTTCACTTCTCACGCCAGTTGTTTTTTTTTTCAACCTTCCCGGAACTTCACGGATGCTTCCAGATTTTGATGGCGGTTCCACATTAGCTGCAGGAACTTTTAAGAAGTTCTGAAATTTCAGAAAAGTTCAGAATTTTGAGTAAGTTTCGATAAATTAAATAATGTTTCAATAACTTCTGTTATAATTCTAAAACCAGAAAATTTTAGGAAAGTCCAGCGAACTCCAGTGAACTTAAGCAAACATCATGCCCCGTAACGTGGGTAGATCACCTTTTCGTGGTACGTAACGGGATGTAAGATCTACCACCGATTCCTAGTCCCGACTACTTCAAACTAGGGGAACAGGATTTTTCAGTACTTTTTATGCCTTGTTGACAGTGACAAGACTCGGTTTTGTTCACCGAGGATGATCTTGAAACAAGGAAAAAATGAGTTAGTTAGTCTATGTGATTCCTAATCTTCTATTCGTTGTTCCCTAGTTTGAGGCGGTTAAGACTAGGGTTCTGATGCATGGTCATTATCGGTGTCATTTCTTAATTTTGTTGCTAAGAAATCCAATTTTGACTGACAAAGGGGCGCGCCTTTGGAGGGTGTTTCAACACTCCGAAGGGTATAAATAGCGGGACCTTTCAATTAGAGTCGGATCCTTACGATAAATGCAAGAATGACAACTGTAAAAAATCGAATACTTCATCATTTCTCAATAGTGATGGAGTAATACGACATGCACTAAACGAGATATACTACAATAGATCAAATTACTTGGCGCAGTGGTGTAAGGAAAATGGAATGATTTTCAGGACAGTTCCATTAGTTTCAGGAGAATTGAGAGAAATTTAGGAAGCTCCGAGAACATCAGGACAGATCAATAAATTTGAAGGAAATCGCTGAAATTTTAAAGGAGTTCCGAAAAACTCAGACAATTTCCGAAAACTTCAGCAATGTTCCAAGGGGCTCATGCAAATTTAAAAAACGGAAGGGAAGTTACACGAACATTGGCACATTGTGAGAAAATTCTATGGGAAGTTCCGTGCTTATTAATGGCAGTGTCGATAACTTTTAAAAATTAGAAAAAATCGGGAAGATCAGATGTAACAATAAATTCAAGAAAATTGTGTGTTTAAGAAATTTCGCAATCTTCCTGTTAGCTTAATCAGCCCTATTAACTTAAGAAGAATTACAAGAACTTGTATGGAATTCCGAGGAAATATGGAATATTCCTAAGTACATTTCAGGAATGTTCCAAAAATGTCAGGGGCATTGCGGGGTCTTCAGGGATGTTTTATGACCATTTGGAAAATTTGCTGGATCATTAGAACATCCATTAGTGCTCTTTCTCCTGGAGTTATGTCCTTGTTTCTTTCGACTATTCCGTAAGCGCTCTGGCTTCCGACTTTATCCAGATTTTCTTTTCCAATCTACCTTAGCAAGTTTCTGCCAGCGTCTCCAGGAAGTTTCTTTCGTCTTCTCCAGGAAGTTCAATTTAAATTCTCCCATAAATTTCTTCCGTCTAGTTCTGGAATTTTGTCCAGTTTTTTTTTTTGACTCTTATTGGAAGGTTTTTCCGAGCTTCTTCTGTTTTCCCCTGGAAATGGCTACTTCTGGAATTTACTTCCGATTTCCGAAACTTGTCTGCCTTCCTTTGAATGTGAAATCCAATGTTTTTTTTTCTGAAGGTTTCTTTAAATTTTCGCCAGAAATTTCTCAATTTATGTCTTGGAAGTTCCGCGGATGTTTTTCCGACTTCTCTCAGAACTTTCCGCAAATTTCTTCCAGGAGAGCTTATTTCTTTTTTCTCTAATGTTGTTTTCAGTTTCCTCCAGAAGCCCCATTCCCCGGAGTCCGATCATAGTCCAAAAGTTAAAATTTTCGCTTTCAAAAACGGCAAAAATATAAAATTAATTAAAGTAGTATACACCGATTAATACCGATTTTTTAAAACCTTTGATACCGATAAGCTTTAAAACATTCTGGCAACGCTGATGCCAACACCAACGCATGATTTTGTATTTTGTATGGCAAGCAAAATGACCAGGACCAGGATAGTCGAAAAAATTGAAAACCCGAAAGATTTATCGACCATACCGGGAACCCGCCACTTCGCCAACTTCGTAATACCGTGCCTTTACTGACTAGGCTATCTGAGGCGCTGAAGTTCTTGGTACTGTCCTGAAATAAATGGGACTGTACTGAAAACCTTAACATATCCCTAAAATTCTCTGGACTACATTAAGTTATTTTGTTAACCTCTCTGGAGTTCTCTGGACGTTCCTGAAATTCCCGAAACGACTTTCGTAATTTTACAGATGTTCATGGAGCTGCCTTTAATTTATCGGAACTGATCCTTAAACATCTTTCAACTTACCAGAAAGTCTGGCCTCCCCTGATGTTCCTGAAACATCCCTGAAATTATTGGACCCACCCTTCAGGATCCCTGACAATCCCGTTCAGCTGTTGAAAGTTCGGTAAAACATTACCAAAGTCGTTAATAATTTCTGAGTGCGTAGCAAGAATAGATCAAAGTTCAAATGCTCATATTTCTATCAAAAACAACCAATGTCGATCATAATTTCCAAAAGTCTACCTAGCGATAAACCAACCTCCTGTGTAAGTTTTGGCACCGAAACCTTATTCTACAACCGGCCGCCCCGCAGACTCACCTCAACTGACGTAGAGAAACCACCGGAATCCTCGGTCGCCGTCACCACCAGCTGGTACACGTGCGGCTGTCGAAGATCCTCAAAGTCCAACTCTTTCGCCAGCTTCACAATGCCGGATGTGGGCCCAATGTTGAACGTTCCCGCGCCCTGTCCCTGCGCCTTCAGCGTGTAGCGTATCTCCCGATCGGCAAACGATTTCGCCTTGACGGAAATGATGCTAAAATCGGAATGATATCAAATTAACCACCGTCCCTATGCTGAGAAACAGCAGCGCGGCAAACTTACTCTGAATCCTTTTTCTGATTCTCCGGAATCTCCGCCTCGTAGCTGGGCATGTAAAATTGCGGTGCCCGTTTGCCACCGACGATCGACAGTCGCTCCTCCGGCGTGCTCTGGTAGCGACGATCATCGACCCGTCCGTTCTGATCTTCCGCCTTAACGTACAGCACGTATTCCATATCGAGCTGGAACAGATCGGTCCCGCGGGTCCTTACAACACCGGACCGTTCGTCCACTTCGAACCGGCCTCCCGTTCGATCCCGTACGATGAAGTAATGGATTTTGTGATCCGTATCCGGATCCCGAGCTTGCAGGGTAAAGACGGGAGTGTTTGGAGGTGCATTCAACTGAACGACGGCCTGCATCGGTAGCGGACGATTGATAAAGTACGGCGGCTCATCGTTAATGTCCTTCACGTGGATGATCACTCGCTGGTTGTCGGTATCTGGAAGGAAAGAGGGAAATCGTCATTACAGGTATGTTCTGCTGAAAACAAATGTTAATTAACTTACATTTTACATCTGCGTAAGGATCCAACGGGTGGCGAAGGCATGAAAAGAGAAAACAAGAAAGCCTGGTATGAGTACTAGAGAAATAATCAATTAACGTGCTTTAATGGGTTCATTCCGTATACAATTTAGCTCCGAGGGAGTAACATTTGCTGAAACAGAAGCTTGATGGCTTCATTTTTTTTCGCTGGTGGCACACGTTAAAGACTTAAACGTGATCCCTCCACTTCACGGGCGAAGTGTGTTTGGGCTCAAGGGAATCGTAAAAAGGATGGGCATACAATGTTGGTTGACGTGAGGTGAGGACCAGCACGCTTCGCTTAGGAAGTTAGATACCGAGACACACTCAGTCGTATTATTTGCCCTATTCGCTAGCGAAAGAAAGCGGACCGGACCGGCTCACGTAACAAGCTCGTTAGTCGAAGAACGAAGGCACTCTGCACGCGGGGGAGAGTCATGGTGAAAGATATTGGATCTTGTCCGACCATTTCGCGCGAGCTGCACCACCATAAAGTAGGTACCTAGAATGGTCCTCTTGGATTTTGCAAAAGGGAAGGTGGTTGGGTGGTTCATCACGCTTCGAGTGGTGCATTTGGTGCAAGCACATTCTTCTCTGTTTATCTTCCTGTGACACACTTTCCCACTATACCGGATGGCATTTCCCAGATATAAAGCATTTCCTCTTCCGCTTGACATTGCTGGATAATGTTGCCGGTGACTAGTAGGGGAGATAGAGCAAGTCGAAGAATTCAGGTCTTTTATAGTTTTGGATTTCAGAAGATGATGTTTGGAAATACGGTCACCAGAATGGCAAAACGCTCTAGTGATGGCGCCATTTTTGATTGCACTGTACACTTTTGATTTTCCTCCAAAGTTAAACTGTTACTGTTAACTTATATGTAAGTTTTCTTCCAAGAAGAAGACTACTAGAGATCCCTAATGTAAAGATAGTAACCCTATTTTACAGAGCACACCATCAGGAAAAAAGATGTCCTGATTGCAGCTCATGGTCTTACTTGCACGATTCGTGAAATGTACTTACGCTGCTGGTGGCGTTGCTCGCGCTCTTTCAAGCTTGAATGCCGAGCTAAATGATTGCTTTCATTCTGCTTCTTCTACTATTTCGCTCGATTTCTGATGGCAGTCGTGACGCGGTACTGCTGTGAAAGCTTTTACAAATAACTTCAAATCTGTGCAACCAAGTCGAGCGAAACCATCTTTGACCTCCACTCTTACAGGAGCCTCCTGAAGCCTTGGATCTCATTAGAACCTACTTGAATAAACGAACAGAATAATTCAACCTACTCGTCATCGGAACGGTATCGAATTAAGAGCTGATCCCCGGGACCTATCTCGAGAATCAATTATGCACCGACCCTAAGTTGCGGACATAAATTGTCATCCAATTGACTTTCAATTAAGCCTTGTTGCTCAGATGCACGTTTTGCAGCAAATGAGAAGATTCCTATACGTGCCTTCTGATGGCATTCCAAAAACCACATTGCCTGACCACATTCACTATGGGTCGTACCAACAACCGTAACCAATCAAGGCACGACGAGAGACTGTCATTATCGAAGGCATCAAATCAATCTGCAGTCTGCTGGATGCTTCCTGAAATTGTGTAAATCAAGTGTCAACTCTGCTGCTCGAATCCAACGAAGACAAACAAGGTGGACAACATGCTGGGAAGTCATCGTCTCCTGACTTGAGGGGTTGGATCATTTGTTGCACACTAAATACGAAATGTGAGTGGGTGTTGGAGCCAGAAAACCAATTACCACTAAACCATACACTCTGGGAAGAAGTGTCTTTGCCAATTGCTGAACAGATTGAAAGTAAGTTTGCGACGGCATCATCAGCAGAAGGTTTTTTTCCTTGATTTGTTTTCCATCGATCTTGTTTTCCATACTCAGTACCAATGCTACCGACACCAGGGAGGCAGCTCCAACACCAGGATCTTACCCTATAGACCAACAATTAACTCATGGACCAGGACCCCCGGATCAGAGATTTTATGCCTCAGAAAATCACGGCGGCGCCGACTGGGATTGAACCCAGGCCTTTTGGGGAGAGAAACAATCACGCTTACCACTACAACAACAACAACAACAGTGTTGGAAAAAATATGTATTACCTTTTATTAGAAGCCACTTATTCCCTAAGCTGTATTCACCTGATCTCGCACCATGTTATTGCGGTAAATTTACGTGAAAATTGTATGAAACCAACAACGTTATAGTTGTAGCTAAAAACTAACTACTTTAACAATACAGTAAGTCCGTGACTTCATATTTGGCAAAGCATATTGTGAACTACTTAACAATATCAGGACTTCATGTGAGAGTAAGCTGCCAGAACGACATACAACAGATGCATATTTTATTAACATTATTTTTCTACACTTAATTCTGTGCGACTATTGTTTGCTCGTTCCACCCTTTAATGATTAATGATAAAAATGAATGATTAATCATAATCACTAAGAAGATTAATCACAAATCAATAATCTTGATCATATTCCTCACCTAATTTTATTATTATTAATAAATCATATTCATTGGAAATAAACTAATCAATGAATAATCATTCATCACTGCTCTTATGATTTCTCGGATTATCGGATTATCGCTCGGATAGGTTATTGGAGATTTTATCGATTTTTTAATGATCCTCCCACGAATTCCTGAAGTTTCCTTCCATTATTCTATTTAAAATTCATCTAAGAAAAATATTGAAATAATGATCTAGGAATTATGTGCCAAAGTATTTAAAAAATTACTTGTGATTCCTCTCAGAATTCTCTAGTAATAATTCTCAGAATTCTCTTAGGAATTATCCTCCAAATTCCCTTGAGGCTCTTCTCAGACCGAACAAAATTCGATTTCCTTGTTATTCTTCTTGGAATTACTTTCGAACTAACCCTTAAAAATTCACTAGGAATTATTCTTGGAATTTGTTTAGAATTTGCACCAGAATTATTTTGAAAGTAATTTACCAACTTTGAGTTCTTCTCGTAATTTCCTCCTGGAAGAGGATATCAGAACTTATTAGGAATGCTCATTTAAATTGTACCTTGAATCTTCCGCACAATCATCATGGAATGATCACCAAAACTACCTAAAATTATACTGAGAACTCTCCTGGAAATCCAACTGAAGACTCTCATAGAGTTCTCCCTAGAACTACCATATAATTGTTCCCTGAACTACATTGGTGTTACACAAATAATTTTCTTTAAATATTCCACCAAATTCCATTGGAATTATCAAACAATTACTCTTAACAATACTCCAAAGTGACACAATTTTTAAAATACCTCTCAGTCCAAGTTCCTTGAATATATTCCAATGTCTTTCTAGAATCTTTTTTTTTTTTTACTTAGAAAAAAGGCGTTTTTCCCGATTTGTCATCGAAATTAACGGGCTTTTCAGGTAATTTACATACTTATAAGTGGGATGATTTGCCATTTATCAGGATCATCTGAAATATCTTAATAGAGCTGGAATTAGGGCGTTCATTATGTTCATTCGAACTTTTGACATTTAGTACTTTCAACCTTTGTCCTTCTGATTTTCGACCTTTTAACTTACCTTCGATATTTTTTCGACCTTTGTCCCTAAACCCGAAAGTTGCACGTTAGTTTTTAATCATTGATCATTATAAATTAAGGTTTATTCAGTAATCACAATCACTAATCATAGAATATTTTGTTTTATTTATTAATCATATTCACGCAAACTTTTGGAATGTTTAAAACACTAAAAATTGACAAAAATCGTAGTATATGAACTACCGACAAAATTTTTGTGAAAACGTATTTCAGTGTAATTTATGCTCATAAAACAATGCTTGAGGTATTTTGAAACATTTCCTGTGTAAAAACAAACAAAAAAGTCTTCTAACTTACAGGGCTGGTAGCAGGTAGTAGCCAGTCAGTAAAAAGTCACTTTTTACACCAAAAAGTCACTTTTTACACCAAAAAGTCACTAAAGTCACTATTCCCTTAAAAATAGTCCCAGTCACTTTTTCACTACCCTAATAGAGTGAAATTTAAAAATACCAACAAAATTTTGAAATTGAGTACTTGGCACTAAGAAAGTCTATAGTAGTTTTAACAAAATATACATATCTGCTAAAAAATTGAAAATTTTAACCAGAATGCCCAGTGAAACTCAAAACTTTAGAACACCAGAAAAACTTTCGGGAAATGCCTTCAATTTCGATTGAAAATCTGGGAAAATATACCTGCTTTCCCAGAAGATGAATTGTAAACCTAGGAAACTTTCCAAAGGTATTTGTCTGTGATAGATTTTCAAAAGTTTTTTAAAAAATCCAAAGTAAATTTTAAGAGAATTTTAAAGGATTGACACCAAGATATATCAGAGATGAATACCAAAGTACAGCCTACGAAAGTCTCATGTAAAATTAAGTGCTCTGAGGACCGATTTCTTCATCTCCGCTTAAATCTTAAGCCAGGTTTATCTATATAGTTAAATTTGGCTTAAAACATACGAGCGTCGCGTTTGATTATTGTTTAAATTATTAGAGACGCAAAATTAAGCTCCGAAACAATTCCAATATAATTGAGAGTGCATTTTAACGAGAGTTCTGAGAAGAATTCTATGATGATTGGATGAGGATTCTGGGTCCAATTCTAATAAGAATTCAAAATTAGTTCGGAAATTTTGCTTAAGGGAGCTCTGATGAAAATTCCATGAGAATCCCGTGAACTCCAAAGATGGTCTCTGCGGATAGTTCTAAAAGAATTCTGGGGTGATTTCTGAAGATACTTCCAGGAGAATTCTAAAGAGTTCAAAATATTGATGGATTTTTGTTTACGAATACGAATACGAATTGAATTTCCAATTGAATGTAGGGGAGAAGTCCAAAATTATTCTAAGCAGAAATTTATGAAATTTCTGACATTAATTGCATAGAAATTGTAAGGAGG